CCCGACTCCGAACAAGGCCAACTTACTCCGGTTAGAACTGATGTGCCCAATCCCCTGAATTTGTCTCCTTGCCTCATCCTAATAAATAAACCCATAGATAAAAAAAAAATAGGATTCATAACAACTCAAATGTCTGAAAAATGCAATACACAAAACGAAACAAATGAAGTTTACTTACCACAACCTGCTCATTGGCATTATTTTTTTATAGGAACTCGTTGACATTGTTTCTTTGTCGTCGTTGTCGTCTCCACTTTGGGTCAATCTATGCAGACCAAACTCGCCTTCACCATGTTGATCCGAGACTAAAATGTAAGCTAAGACGATGGCGTTGAGATCCTGCTGACCGGTGTGATCATCACGAAGCCCTCATCCCGATCATCATCGTCATCTCCGTTGGACACAACCATCGCCCCGTCGTTCAAGAGAGAAAGGGGACAGAGAGCCTATGCAGAAGTAAGGATGTGAACTTTACCCATACTTAATTATCCAACCCAATTGGGTTGGGTCTGAAACCCAAGTCAAATGTAAATGGGTGAAGTCAGATGGATCAATACCGATACCCATTATGTTGGATCTATTTGAGTTTTACCCATGGATTTGGGTAAGAAAATCCAAACCCAAATAATTAAATAAAAAACGAAAAACAACAAATTAATTTCCCAAATTGAGATTTGGCCTTCACTCGACATTCTCTCTTCCATCTCTCTTGCTTTACCCTCCAGCCTCCGCCGGCGGCGCAATTGGGGCTTTTGTTGAAGATGGAAATTAGTCACCACGCCCCTCTTGCTCTACCCTCCGCCGACGACGCAATTGGTCTCGCCTCAAGAATTGGAGATGGAAATCAGTCCCCATGCCACTTTCATATTCCCAACCGTCGATCGGGGGAAGGCCAGAGGTCGGAGGTGGGTGGATTGATTATTGCGCATTTGATATCTGATACAGCCTACTGCCATGAATCGATGATTTGAGGGGAGGTTTGAAAGATAGGAACTCTAATTGTGGAATCTGCCAATTGCAAACATCAAAGCACTTTTCGACGATCATACCTGGATTTTCGAAAGTCGATGCTAGAGATGATCCTGGAGAAGCAGATATTCTCGCCGGAATATCTCAGGGAGCTCCTCAACTGCTTCATCCAGCTAAATTCTCCTTACAATCATGACATCATCGTCGCCGCCTTCTCCGAGATCTAGAACGCGGTCTTCTCCGAGAGTCAACATACCCTGCCACTCTCGTCGTTAAAAATCACGTTGTATAAATTCAGACGAGTTCCAATTTCATGGGCTTTTCGGAACCGTGTCGGCGGTCCACTTTGGGATGGCGGTGGCCGGCGAACAGGAGGAGATCGGTCGGCGGAGCAGATCTGATGGCATATGCTTCCATGTAAATAATTACTATTTAGTACCTGAATTTTATAAAGAGTTACAAACAAGTCCAGCATTAGGTATGGAAAACTATATAATTGATACCTTTAAAATTATGTTTTATATTTTAGTACTTCGAAATAAATTTTACAAAGTGATGGATATCCAAACCCAACCCATACCCATTTTCACATTTAAAACAAAATCCAAACCTATTTCCACTTACCCAAGTACTACCCAAACCCATATAGAATAAATCCATACCCTACCCATAGTAGATGAGTATAAATGGGTTTGGGCAAAAATACCCATGGGTGGGTAATTGCCATCCCTAACAGAAGATGAAAAGTAAATTATGTGGTCGTGGATGGCGCAGGAAGGAAACATATAAGGAACTACGAAAAGCAGAAAATGGCAAAACCCAAAATATCCACAAAGTTCCCTCCAATTACGGAAAGCCACTCATGGGTTTAAGTCGGTTAACAAAATTCACACTCGGTTCAAGCTCGTAAATTTGAAAAACGTGTACAACTCATTGTCGACGCAAAATTTATCAATACCACGGTTTTGAAAACCTTTGGGAAGATAGAATAACCGACTCAATCCCATCAATTAGAAAAGCATGTAAAACCCGTTCCTGAAGCAAAACCCATCAACACCGGTTTCAACTCACTTAACAAAATCCGCACCTGCTCAATCCCGTATATTAGAAAAACATGTAAAACTCGTTGCCAACGCAAAACTCGCCAACACCACTGTTTGACAACCTTTAGAAAGATAGAATGAAAATATTAGAAAAATAGAAAATCAATTAAACTTATGGTCATGTTAGGTTCAATTGTCATTCTCAACCAAAAGAAGAAGGGAAAAAAAATAAACAGGAACAACTCGCTCCTAATCCAAAATTCGTTCGTACCAGACCCAACCTGTCAATTACAAAAGTGGGCAAAACTCGTTCCCTGAATTCGTCCACACTGGATTCAACTCACTTTGACCAGCTTGATAAAGTAGGGTGGGTTTTTAACAAAATCCACATTTTACCCCTGAATTCGTCCAAATGCACAAATTTTACCCCACATTTCTTGTCCTTTTTGCTTAGTAGATCAGCGTCCATCGACCTATTTTAGATTGTGTTTGTTTTGATACATTTCAGATCCTAGTACGTGTGGGAAGGTCAAGTAAGAGTTTCGGGTCGATTGGAGGTCGAAAAGTGCAAAAATGCCCAAAGTAGCGATCGTGACAATTGCCCCATGACCGTGAACTGACCAGGTTCCAGAGCAATTCTAGAGGTTACTGACGCCAAGTCAGTCCACGGTCGTAAGACCGTGAACTTCGGCCGTAAAGTGCTGTAGTGAAACGACGCAAATTGGTTTGAGTTCACAGTCCAGGCTTTAAGTTCACGACCATGAACTCAGACCGTGAACAACCTTTGATCTGGGTATTAAAGGCAACAACAGAAGAAAGAAAAGGGAGAGATGGTTTTTGGGAGAGGAAATAGTTTCTTTCTTCTAGGGTTTCAACCCAAAACACCAAAGGGGAGTTATAGAGAGAGGGAGAGTGCTTGAGTGATCTTGGAGCTTAATTGGAGGTTTGGGTTGATCTTGAAGACAAGGATTCAAGCCTAGAATAAGAAGAAGAATATTTTGGGCTCCAATTTGTAATTTCTCTCTTCTCTCTCTAGAAACTCAACCTCTTCTCTTGGTTTAAGAACCCTAGGTCTATATTTGAGTTTAATGTTGATGTATGTGACACATTCCATGTTTGATTGATGATTTTACTTAATTGATGGATGTTTTAATGAATGACATGAGTTGGGTTTCCATTTTCATGTATTGAGGTTTTGACCTAGGAGGGAGAAAATCCCCTTAGAGCCCATTATTGGCGTCTTCGGGTCACTCCTCACCCTATATCATCCGGGTAATCCCCGAGGGAGTCGATTCCATCAATCTCCTACGATATAGGGTTGCCCTAGGTTGAATAGAGCCTACCACATTCATCGATTCGCTGTTCCGGGTCATTCCCGAGGGAGTCTATCTCCTAACGGTAGAGTAATTGAATCAATCGAGCTTTTGACCTAGGAGGGAAACAACTCCTCACCCCATATCGTCCGGGCGATCCCCGAGGGAGTCGATTGGATCGATCTCCTACGATATAGGGGTGCCCTAGGTTGATTTTAAGGAGACGATTCATGTAAAAACGATGGCAATTGTTACGTATGGTATGATGGACAAGAAAATACATGAATTTATACAAAAATCATCTAAGATTTACTTCAATTTAAATTATTTAGTGTTTAGCAATTTAGGGTTAGGGTTTAGATTTACAATTTGGGGTTTTGGCTAGGATTCAAAATTGAAGGTCAAGAGTTTAGGAAAATGGATTGATTAGTTATAATTCCATGTTATATCATCATATTACACTAATTCTACCAATTAAAGTTCAAATTTTGATGTATTATGACCACTTTTAGGGTCAATGCACCAAAAAAATAAGTGCATCGAAGTATCTATTATATATATATATATATGGAGAGTTCTACGGTACCCAGGGTGAAATTCAGGGTACCACATACCCTGAGTATGAAAACGCTATTCAGACCATTAATTGACTGATCTCTCGGACATAATACTATACTCTAACCCTTAAATATCAAAATCTAGGTCTTAGTTGTCTAAATATAATACTCCAAGATAAATTTAATTAGAATAATAATCGACGGTTATGATTCGTCCAAATAAGCCCAAAAATGAATGCACCATCTCAGGGTTTATAGTTTATAATTTAGATAATTAGGAACTAGGGTTCACTCATTAAGGGTTAGGGTATAGTATTAGGTCCAAAAATCCTGCTAATTCGAAGTCTAGATAGCATTTTCATACTCAAGGTATGCTGTACCCTAGATTTCACCCGGGGTACCGTAGAAGGCACCATATATATATATATATATATATATATATATATATGGTGGCATATTCGGCGCACCTACTTTTTTGGGTGCACTGAACGCACCCATTTTCTTGTTTAATCTTAACCATTGATTACATCTGATGGCTACGATAATTTAATTTATTTATAATTCATTATTAACTAATAAAATATATTATATATATTAAAGTAGTTTAAAATTATTAATAATTGCAATTAGACCCCAAATCCTCTTCTTCCGCGATTGTTTTCCCCTCTTCCCCGTTGATACTTTTCCCAAGCGACAACTAAATTCCAGTGGCTTGCATCCTCATCCTCCGCCACCAGCGTACCAATCCGACTGTTGCTTGCATCGTCGTTGCCCTGGAGACAGTAATACCACCACAACTACTTCTCCGATTTCAACTCTTTCCCCCGTAGAAATCTCCGGCAATAACTTCTCGTCTGAATTTCTAGCGGCCTCTCAACATTAGCAACAACAACGCTATGGGTTCCCGTTGCTTCAGCAATTGAGGTCCAGCCTACAAAGTATAAATACATGGAACAATAGAATAATCCCCAATTCAAACTATGCAGAGAGTTCAGTTTGCGAACTCGGTCCATTCGACTCAGCCTATTTAGATGAGGCAGAATAACAGGGGAATTGGTGTTACACCTGCTGCTCCGTAGGCGGCGGCGGGTGGTGGCCAGGAGTCGGAGAAGAAGAAGATGAATCGGCTCCATGAGTTGGATAAGCACCTTCTAGACAAAGATGACGACAACGACGACGAGGAAGGATCCGGCGGGGACACTGTTTTCGTTATCACCAATACCAACAGCAACTGGTCGGAGACGATTCAAAATCTCATCTCAGGTGTGCTTTTGGATGAGGCTGCAAATAATTCGCTAACTGATAAATTATGGAGCTCTAATTAATGAATGAAGGAGCACGAATTATTACAAGCAGAATTCCACTATCATATTTTGTTGCCTTCTTGTACTGGTTGGTGGGCGGAAGGATCTGGGTTTTTTGTTGCTTTCTCATATTGCTTGGTGAGGCCAATTATATTGACACAATTCAATGATTACTTTATTACTTTGAAGTTTCACATTGCTCTATCCTCATGATTCATCGTCAACACCGTATGTCCATTGTTGCTTACATGCTCTGTTCTCTTCGGCCGGCCGCAATTGACCGCCGATTGTAGCTTGATAAAGTTCTTTCGGCGCAAACAATTCGCCAGCCGCACAATTCTTCAAATTGGAAGAAGAAATGAAAAATAGTGACCTCCTGTTGTGTAATTAATTTGATAGAGGAAGTCTAATTGGGAAGCTTGACAGAGGTTGGGAAGAAGAATAATCTGATTGTCTTTTTGATGTGAGGGAGAAATATGTTTATGTTGGTGAGAGGAAGAAGAGGGGAAAAGAAACGTGGAATACGAGGGTTAAAGTTGAGGGTTCATTTGCAATTATCAATAAGTTCAAATTATTTTAATCAATATAATATAGTTTATTAGCTAATAATTATTTATAAACAAATCAAATTATAGTAACCGTTAGATGTATCTAACGGTCAAGATTAAAAAAAAAGTGGGTGCGTTCAGTGCACCCAAAAAAGTGAGTGCACCGAAGTAGCCACCATATATATATATATATATATATATATATATATATATATATATATATATATATATGTATATATGTCAGGTAAATTGCAAGGTTGGTCACTGGGATTACAGAAAACTTTCATGTTTGGTCACTCAAAATAATTAATTCCGTTTGTAGTCACTAAAATTAATTAAGTATGTCAAGTTTGGTCACTCTCCGTCCAATTCTGTTAATTTTTGCTTATGTGGCAGTCAACTTTTATAGTTGACCGTTAAATGTATGACATGTCAATTAAAAAATAATTAAATAAATAAAATTTATATTTTCCACCTTATTTCCGATTTTGGGTCCATTTCGATTTTTTGCTTCTTCTTGCTGGAGAACTGTTCCGACCCGGAATCCGCCCAGCCGTTCGCTGCTTCTTTCTCCGCGGGATTCACTTTTTCCAGGCGAATCTAGACAGCCCGCTTCTTTCGAATCCGCCCAGCCGTCCACCGCACTAGACAGCCTGCTCAAGGACGAACGGCCGGGCAGAACCACCCGGTACTCTGACGACCTCAATTTCTCGTTGCTCCACGGCCTGGGCTCCTTATGGCGCGGAACCTCCGGCGAGTGGCGTCCATCGAGCTCCCCTCCAGTCACCGTCTGCAGGCCCTTTCTGGTGTCAGATCCGATGAGGTCAATTCAACAATCCGCCGGCTAACAGCGTTAAATGGGGAGAAAGGCAACAACCCTGATCCGGTGAATATAAGGGCCCGTTTAGTATCATTTTGTTGTTGTTGTGGTTGCAATGGTGTTGTGTAAACAGATGTACAACCACAACAGGAAAAAAAAACAGAAAACACAAACCTGTTTAGTTGATAAATCTGAAAAATCATGAAAGCTGACAACAAGAAACAAAAACGCGTTTAGTTACTACTGTAATAACTAAAAACCAGAAAAAAGAGAGGTCGGCGCGGAGGGGAGGGGTCGGCGCGGAGGTCGGGCGCGGAGGGGGAGGGGTCGGGGCGGCGGAGGTGGCTCGCCTCTGTTGAGAGAGTTTGGGGGAGAAGGGTTTGGGGAGGGGCGGCTGATATGTTGAAGTAGGGTTGGGGGGCGGCTTGTGTTAAAAAAAAAAATTTGCTTCTGTGGGGATTCGAAAACTGGTTTGGTTTAATGAAATCAAGTGCCCAACCAGTAGGAATCCCGTGTGCAACATGTTTAAGAATCAGATCCAAAGCAATAAATTTTTGTTTCTCATATTTGAGCCCTGTTGTGCAACTCTGATTCACAACAGAAAATAAAAACCCAACTAAACACGATTTTTTTTCTTGGTTTTCCAAATTTCATAAAACAAAACAGACAACAAAAACAAGCAACAATACTAAACGGGCCCTAAATATATATGACGACTCTACTTTTCGAGCTGGTGCTGAATTCGGCGATGCGGACAATGGTAGGCAAGCGATATTACGGCGACGAGAGCGTGGTGGATTTTGAGGAAGCGTGGCAGTTTCAGGAGTTGACGGTGGATGTTAGAGAGTGGTATAAGATCCAACAGAACCCTCTCCCAACAACTCGAGTTATTGGGAGCAACTGGTTATTGACATGGTATCAGAGCCTAGAACCAAAAGGTCATGTGTTCGAATCTCCACGACCCCCAATATTAACCGTTGTCTTTCAAGCACATGGTATGGTGGGCCTGTGCAAACTTCAAGCCCATGGGTTGGCTTTCGTTTGAGGGGGCGTGTTAGAGAGTGGTATAAGATCCAACAGAACCCTCTCCCAACAACTCGAGTTATTGGGAGCAACTGGTTATTGACAGTGGAGACTATGCTGATTTCGTGCAGGTTCTGAGATGGGTCGATGGAATTGGGAAGAAAGGGGAGAAGCTAGTGGAGTTTCAAGGGGAAGAGAGATGGGTTTATTTAGATGTTGATTGAGAATTGAAGGAATGGAGATGCGGGGGATGTTCAACCTTCAGGGATGCCGGGAGGGAAGAAAACAATGGTTCAATTTTTTGTTTGCTCTACAGGAAAAAAGAACCGGAATTCTACACTGACGACGTCATCAAAAGCCTTATTCTGGGTCTATAATTATAGCTTTGGCTAAACTAGGAGTTGGTATATTTGGCAGAACCACACTCCTCTCCGTCGGCGCGGGACAGGAAGAAGGACAGGAAGAAGGCGATGGAGCTTGGCTTGACATTTCCGATGGAGAAAGAAGCGGCGGACGGCCGGGTCGGAACAGTTCGCCACGGACAAAGAAGCGAAAAATCGAAATGGACCAAAATTGGAAATGAGGTGGAAAATATAAAAATTAAATTTTATTATTTTATTATTTTGTAATTGTCATGTCATGTATTTAACGGTCAACTATAAAAGTTGACTGCTACATAAGCAAAAGTTAACGAAATTGGACGGAGAGTGACCGAACTTGGCACACTTGACTAATTTTAGTGACTATGAATAGAATTAAATATTTTGAATGACCAAATATGAGCGTTTTCTGTAATCCCAGTGACCAACCTTGCAATTTACCCTATATATGTCAAATAAACAAATTGAAAGAAGAAATCCCACCGCAGGACCTGGTACTGTGCTCGTAGACTGCTTTTACTGCTCAACGTGACCGAGATGTACTGTTATAACCCGGAAGCAGTCTCTGTGTGGCCTGGAGTTGGGTGAGGGCTCTTTGGATTCTGACTGGAATTTGGCGGGTCGGTTGGGGTGGAACTTGTCGTTGGCTTTGTTTGTCTGTTGGATCTGTTGTGGTCCACGAACGCGTTGGTCACCAGAGCCCTCTCGATGACGGGAGCCTGCACAGGTGCGCGGATCGAGAGTTATTCAGTTGCTTTGGGTGCAAGTGGGATGGAACTGATGGTTGCTTGCGTTTGCCTGCAAGTGGGCTAGGCATAGGTGTACCCGATGTGGCCTTTTGCACCATCGATTCCTGAGCGATTGTTGAGAGAGAGAGAGTCTTCAGTCTTCGGCGATAGACAGAGTAACCTGCCTAGAAACAGTGAGGAGCTGGGGTACTGGGTTTTTGGAGGTCTGAGATAGGAAGTGATGTCTCTGTTTTGATTATAGAGACCATTGAGGGGACTGGGGTCACTCATTGAAGCAGTGGGAGAGTTGGGGTCTGAGGGTGCTTTCTCTATTGGGAGAAGAGCTCGGCTTATTGGGGGGGGGGGTGAGAGATCAGATAAATCAGCTGTTTCAGTTCTCTCTCTTTGCATTTTCCACCATTCTTCTTTGCGTTTTCTCCCCCCCTCTCTCTCTCTCTCTCTCTCTCTCTCTCTCTCTCTCTCTCTCTCTCTCTCTCTCTCCAGTATCAAGGTAGATAAACTTTTTGGGCGCTGTCTAGGTCACGGCGGTGTGGGAGAGATGCACAACTTCGAATCCTTATCCGACGAAATCGACCAAACAGAATTTTGGCGGTGGCTCTCTAACTCGGTACGGCGGCAGCGAAGATGTTCAAGTCGAGATCCGCACATTCACTTTTGGGTGTGAGGTGAATGTTCTCCCTTCCTCTCTCTCTCTCTCCTGCCAATTAAGAGAAGCGCCCCAGATCCGCATTTTTTTCATTTGGTTTCGGATGATTCATCACTCTCGCGGTCTTCCCTTTCATCTCTTTTGTTTTTCTTCAGTTTTTGAATGCCAGCTATCTGATTTTTCCTCTTTTTCTTCCATTCCCAGCTTGAAGACGAGTGGGATTTAAGGCTGATTGAGTGGCGGATATGAGGCGTTTAGAGAGGGTTGGGAGAAGAAGCAGATCCACAGATCATCGTTTTGGTTAAGGTGATTGTTCTCTATCCTCCTGTTTGTTTTATGATTTTTCCAGAATGAGTTCGTGCTCTCTTTTTTTTGCCTTAAAAGGATCTGTTTCATCTACTTTCTGACGAGATTCTGGCATTGTTTTCGTTTATTGGGATTGCAGTGGGTCGATTGATTGTAGAATCTCGGTGAATGCAGTGGACCAGGAAATGGTTGAGTTCTAAAGAGATCAAACTGATTTGCAGTTTTAGTTTTAGGTTATAACTCTCTCTATTCGTAGATGGGTCCTTTTGTCTGTTTCTCCGTCTGACGCGTTGTCTATCTTATGCAGAGGAATTAATGGTGTCCCGATCAGTGTTGGGGATCCCGGTCGTCGGAGGTAATCTTCAAACTCCTGCTTGGGTCTGCTTCTCAATCTCAGAGAGGGAGACATTGAGGTTGGGAGATGGGAGTCGGATGTAAGTGACCACTCAAAAGTTTCGCCCTCATTTTTATTTTTATTTTCTGTTTCTCTTTCCTCTATCTCTTCGGTTTCAACTCACGATTCATCTCTCCACTCTAATCTCTGTCTCAGGTTGATGAGGGAACACAGTGGTCAAATTGTAGATTTAGAGACGGAATCTTAAAGCCGTAAATGGCTTCACTGCAGGTGGGCTTTCTTCCCTCGACAGTTCACGCGTTGGCGAGATGTAGAACCCGAGATTCGACTCATCCTTCATTGCTCTGCAGAGGAAAGAACACTGACTTTGTAGATTCACAAGTTCTCTTTCCCATTGGGTTAGTTACCTAATCTTTCTTCATGTTCTCTTTTTATTCTTCATAATAATAACTGCCTTTGTCTTTTTCTACAACGAGATATCGACGACAATATTAGAGTTGGAGGTGTTGTGGTCGCCGATCGCGCTCAACACTATCAGGACTATGGAAATTGGAGGGTAATAGAAATCAAAGGTCAGATTTTACTTTTTGGAGTATCATAAAGTATATAGAAATCAAAGGTTCTGTTTTGGTTCCAGCTAATTGTTATGTTCACTCTCTTCTCTATTTCGGTTTAAGTTTATATTGGTTGCACTGAATCCTGATAAACCAATTCATTGATTCCTATTTTTGTTCACCAATGCTGCCTATAGTTTATTGTTTTGTTGATTATTATATGAAGATAGTCAAAGTCTCACCAGTGCGTGACCCTTCACTGTAATTGTGTTTCATTGATTCGAGGCCTATCGTATTCGTATGAAATGTCCTCTTATTATCTATTTGCAGTTCGTGTCTCTCCAGTTTCATATGTAATACCATTCTTACAAACTCACTTGAAAGGCGGGAGAAGCTTGAATATGGTCTCAGTATTGACAATTGTGTTCCTGTTGTGAATGCAGGTCACAAGCCACTAAGCTCATGAATTGATCGTTGAAACTATTGATACCACGATTGCCTACCGCCTGATTATATATCAGTGAGTTTTACTTCCCTGCTGAGATATGTTCCTCTTTTATTGTTTTTTTGGATTGTGCTGTGAGTTTTTGGTAGTATTCTGGTTGTCCGAAGTGCAGTGTCCAGTTTGCACAAGAAGTAAAAAAACAAGTTGTTTGATGAGATGTATGTTGATGTGTGTGTGGTTCTTGGTTAGTTTCACGCGATGTAATTGATAGTGGGATGATGCTTTTTTAGAGTTACATGGCAATCATTTGATTGGCCCATCTAGGCTGAGGGCTATTTTATTTCTGCAAAACTCTCAGTCTGGCTTCTTTCTCAAGCTCATTGTTCATTGTTGTAGTTTCAGTTGCCCTTTGGTAGGGTTTGTTTGGTATTCAACTTTCTGATTCTTTGATCGAAACATGTTTTGGTGACCTGACTTAGAATTTGCTTTTTATGTAGTATGGAGACTTCAAATAGCTAGCTCATTTTTTTTGGTGATTTACAAAGAGGACACACCTTCTGTGGGAATCTGGGACTTATGGACATGGAAGGGATTAATTGTAGAATTTTATCTTAATTGATGATTAATTACTGCTTAGATCAATATGTTAATTACGAGTTTCAACTTTCAAGGCATGTGAGCCAACGTAGTTGTGTGATTCGATACTTACACTCCTGTTGAAATCATGGCAAGACTTTTTTTGAAATGATTATTTGTGCTTATTATTAATTGAATATCTTCATTTGTCCGAGCGTGTTTAATTCGAAGTCATTGCTTTTTTTTTTTTTTTTTTTGCATCCGTTAGATTCGTATTCTACGCAATTGATCTCATTCATATAACTCAACAGATCACCATGAAAACTGCAATTGGGATAACTTAATTGTGACAGCCATCCCGGGGCAGAGCCCGGGCAGAATAAACCTAGTATTATATTATAGCACCTAAACAACTAAGACTTCATTCTTTGAGTCCTCCAACAAGATGAAGGCAAATTTGCCATTTAAATATCTTTAAAGATTGTTTTTGTATGAGAGTTTATTTTCTCTTAATGGGCCAATTAGCTACAAAAAGCTTTTATTTATCTATATATTTTAATTATTTATATCGATCTATGTGACACTAATAATCGTCTTTACTCTTTAATATTGATCTCGCTTGATTTGAATGTTGGACTGTTTATTTTGAATGGTTTCAGGAATTATATTTTATATAGACTAATATGCTAATTGAATGATTAGTGCAAAAGAAGTGTAGTATGAACTTTGTGAGCCAAAATTTTAATCCAATCATTGAATGATGATATTGTTGTATCTTCTGGTATGAGAAACATGGCACGTTTTATACTTTCATTAAGTTTAATCAATGGTTGCGTTCTCTATTTTCTAAAAAGCAAAGTACTCCTTTTATTCCAAACACATGAAGTCGTGAAATATTTCATTGCTAAGAGAAAAAATAAATCATTGTCCATGCCAATTAAAAAGCAAAGTACTCCTTTTATTTCAAACACATGAAGTCGTGAAATATTTCATTGCAAAACAAACACTATTACGTATATGGTAGTTACTATTAGAAGATTCAAGTACTTAAAATGAATTGGATAAATAATGTTAAGATTTTATTACCGATGACAAATTTCACTGACTAAAGGCCAGATTGTATGCTAGTAGTTATTGACCATAAAGTTATGCAATTGAATGACTCTATTGATGTGTACTAGATTTAACTATTTCCCTTGGGCCGGACGGACAACTTGGGTTGGATTTTAGAATAGTTGAGGTGATGTGTGAACAAGTCTCGGCCCAAATGGCTCTGTGCCTGGTTTATCTTCTCTCGCTCTCTGTCTCCGATATAAATTGTGCCGATGGATAGATACATTGACACCGCCAGACATACACAAAAAAGGGAGCTACTCAGAAAATGGCCAACTTTTTCCAGGAAATCCAAGTCCCAAATCAGAAAATTTCCACCGATTCCCCACCGTTCCCAGCTGTCCTCGGGCCAAATTCGCCGCCATCTCTCGCCGAATTCATCTCTGCCATAGAATCCCAGAAGCCGCTTCTGGAATCGCTGCTCCATAAAACAGGGGCAATCCTATTTAGGGGATTCCCTGTCTCCAGCGCCGCCGAATTCAACCAAGTCGTGGAATCCTTCGGATACCCCGATCAGCCTTACCTCGGCGGAGCGGCCTCCCGGACTAACATCGTCGGCCGCGTCTACACCGCCAATGAGGCCCCGCCCGATCGCAAGATCCCCTTCCACCACGAGATGGCTTATGTCTGTAAACAGAACAACTCAGCCTAATCCAATTGATTCGGTCAATATTCGAGTACTAACTTGGGTGAATTGATTTTTTCAGGCGTCGGAGTATCCAAAGAAGTTGTTCTTCTTCTGCGAGGTGGCGCCGCGGAGCGGCGGCGAGACCCCCGTGGTGTTGAGCCACGTGGTGTACGAGAGGATGAGAGAGAAGCACCCGGATTTCGTAGAGCGGCTGGAGAAGGAAGGGATGGTTTCCAGGAGAGTGATGGGGGAGGAAGACGACCCTTCATCCGCAATCGGTCGCGGCTGGAAGTCAACGTTTTCCACCAACGACAAACTTGTCGCGGAGCAAAGGTTTGTGCTTGCTTTCTCTCGATTACCCATTTCATTTCACCGCTTTCCTTTCACTGTTTTCTCTGATACCACTACTCAAACAAAACTTGAACATTTTGTAATGGTAACCTCTCGCTTTTTATTGCTACAATACAACAAGCAGAGCAGCAAAGCTGGGAATGAAGCTAGAGTGGATAGGAGATGGGTCAACGGTGAGAAGAGTAATCTGTGCGAAACAACCAATCAAACACGACAAGTCGAGGGATCGAAAGATCTGGTTCAACGAGATGGTGCCGGGTTATACAGCTTTTAGCGACGGGGTCACGTTCGGGAACGGGGACGCTGTGCCAGGTGATGCCGTGTATGATTGTTTGCACATCATGGAGGAGGAAAGCGTTGCTATTCCTTGGCAGAAGGGGGACATTCTGTTTCTAGACAATTTGGCTGTTCTTCACGGGCGCAAGCATTTCACCCCGCCTCGTCGTATTCTCGCTGCACTTTGCAAGTAGTAGGAAAGAAGTGTGAATGTTTGTAATTTGATTTGTGTGTAATGTATTCTCGACGCACATTTTCAACAGGGGGTGCTTTCTATACTTGTTTCCAGTGTTGTATGAAGTCAAAGAAAGAATCAGATGCATCTGGTTGGACTAGGCAGCGCATATTTAAAAGTGGTTAAAGGGAACTATCGTGTGTTGTTATGTGTTTGTTTTATCGAACTTCTTTGTGATTGGATCAGTGTAAGACGTAATGATGGAGATGTCAATTGTTTGTTATACAAGAAGTGACCCGGCGCGGAGTTACCGATGGGAACCAAAACTAGCGGCAGAAACCTAACTCACTACCTGCAATAGAAAACAAAACAAACGTCATCGAATCGCACATTGGGCAATGGCAAAAATGTGATAGTGAATTATAGTAGGGACATAAATGGAATTTTAGACAGATGTCAACCATGGCCATTCTTAGCGTTGGAATCTTGATTATATATATGCAGGGTTAATTGCAAGGATGATCACTGAGTTTACTAAAACTGTTCATATTTGGTCACTGCAAATATTTAATTTCATTTATGATCACTAAGATTAGTTCAATAGTTCAAGTTTGGTCACTCTCCGTTAGTCTCCGTTAGTTTTTGCTGATGTGGCAGTCAACTATTATAGTTGACCGTTAAATGAGTGACGTGGCCAATAAAAAATAATAAAAAAATAAAATTTAAATATTTACAATTTCCACCTCATTTTACAATTATTAAAAAATAAAAATAAAAATAAAACTTAGACTCCTATTCCATCAGCCGCAGCAGCAAGACGCGAATCGTGGCGCTGAAGAAACAAGTACAGCTACCTGAACCCTAAGAACCCGGAGGAGCACAAGCGGCTGGATCCTTCACGAGTACAGCTGCGCAAGCGTCGTCAACCCATTAAACCTAAGAAAGCCACCACACACTTGTTTCGTCATTGCAGCAGCTAAAGCAAATCAAAACAGAAGCAAATTTACTATGCGAGAATTGGTAGTACCTGGGGAGATTGCAAGCGAAGGGCTGCCATCTGTACTTGACGTAATTCTTGTCGGGTCGGCCGAATTTGAGGTAGTCGAACTCTGGATCTAGGAATGGACATTTGGCAGGGTCGTAGGTAGACCCATTTCCCTTGGAACCAATTGCATTTGCTCACACCTAATGCTTCTCTTCTCCCGCTGCTGCTGCTGTTTCTGGGAAATGTACCCTCACTGTCACTCGTCAAGAAGCTCCAACTTGTTTCTGCTGCTAATAGTAGCAGAGCAGCGACCAATGTCAAGAAACCCATATGGGAGACAAGGATGATAGAGTTAGTTACGAGAGAAATAGATAAAAGGAGGTTTTCTTCCCTTTTTCTGCTGTGGTTGTTCTACTGAGAAAGGACGATCGAGAGAGAGAAAGAGGGAAAGTGAGGTGTTTGAAGCTAAAGTTGAAGTAAGGCCCCTGTTTATATACACCCCACAAGTTTTTAATTCGCCGCGGAGGAATTAACACGAAAGGGAACGAGAAAAAGTGACAGAGACAGAGGGGCGACTGGATCCGGGGAGAACAGAGCTTTGGAGCTTCTTTTGCTCGTTAATCTTTTCAAATATGGGTGGGGTGGGCGGTCTGTGTTTTGTTTTCACATGGAAATGTGGGCACCGCCTCTTGATAATCGGTGGCTGCTGCTCTGGGTTCGGCGCCCTCTACGTGGCCGACGACGCTTGTGCAGCTGTACTCGTGAAGGATCCAACGCTTGTGCTCCTCCGGGTTCTTAGAGTTCAGGTAGCTGAACCTCTTCTTCAGCGCCACGATTCGCGTCTTGCTGCTGCGGCTGATGAAATAGGAGTCTAAGTTTTATTTTTATTTTTATTTTCTAATAGTTGTAAAATGAGGTGGAAATTGTAAATATTTAAATTTTATTTTTTTATTAGCCACGTCACTCATTTAACGGTCAACTATAATAGTTGACTGCCACATCAGCAAAAACTAACGGAGACTAACGGAGAGTGACCAAACTTGAACTATTGAACTAATCTTAGTGACCATGAATGGAATTAAATATTTGCAGTGACCAAACATGAACGGTTTTAGTAAACTCAGTGACCATCCTTGCAATTAACCCTATATATGCAGGTGCAATTGGATCTCTTTTGTTATTAGATCAAGCTCAGGTAAGAGGAACCTGGGGTAATAATCTAAATGTCTATGAGACTGGATCTCTGATCTCCGAACTTTGGATGTGTGCTCGACGCTCACGAGTATAGGATCTTTTTTATGGCGAGATCTACTCCAAATAACTACAGAAATTACTAATGGAATAATAAAGTACGAAACCTAAATTTCTCATATTATTACTTATAGGTAAAGCCTTAATTTATAGAGTTACACAACCAAATCAATTTCCTTCTCACCGTAGACTTTAGCTTCTCTCATTCTTCTTCTCCTACTTGAATTTATTTTCCTCCCCTTTACAAGAATATTAATTAAAAACTAAATAATAACTAACACAACTCCTAATCATAATATGACATTGATAACTCATAACTAATGATTATAGCAAAAATATCATAAAACAATACGAAACACAAAATAATAATAAAAATATATATGAATTAAAACGCTAGCCCTAAAATTGCAGAATTATCACGGTGACTTGTCTTCTAACACCCTCTCCCCTTAAGCGCAACCTTGCACTCAAGGTTGGTGAGATTACCACACATGCCTCAACTGGGATCGATAACGAAGAAGCTTCCCCTCCTCTTGTGGTAGACGTGAATGAATGCTGGCCAACATTGTTTGCATTTTCGATACTTCCAATTTCGCTCATAAACTTGAATGAAGCGTTGGAAGCGTCAGATAACACCTAAAATAAGCGTTATTTAGCCCCTATTCTCAAGGCATTTGCATGCTAATTCACCTTGTCTAGGCCACATATCAAGGTATTTATGCCTATATTCCTTCCTATTTGTAAAACATGCATTTTAGCATAGGTATTCTAGATATGAAGGTTTACATAAGGGAATCAACCTCACTTTTTCGTACTTTATGTTTTCCCAAGCTTTTGTGATGAAATTCTAGGTCTATAGCATAGGAACAAGCAGGGAAGAAAAAGCACAGGTCACGACCACAGGCCACTGCCCTTGACCAGGTCGTGAATGATCGCGGCCTGACGATCGTGGTCGGGATTAGTGGCCACGAACCTCAACAGGCGACCAAGAAGAATCAGAGAGTTTCCTCACCCGGATCGCAAACATGGTACGTTTTGGCAGCGAAAAAATTCATGCCCGGGACACAAAGATCGCGACCATGATCTCATGAAGGAGGTCGCGATCTCGGGACTTAAAGACAGGACAAAATGCGTCGTTTCGGGCGATTCAAAGACGTTCCAGGCTGGTCACGGCCATGACCATCGGGCCACGCCCTTGAGGCATTGACCGCCATAAGCTTTCTATAAATACCCCTCTTGCTGCAGTTTTCAAAGTAGAGCCGACCTAGAGTGAGAAAGTTAGGGTTTTGGGTTATTTTTAGAGAGGTAAACACCTAGCTTAATTGAAGATCCAATCCACCCAAGGAGCAAGAAGAAGGTGCAAGCAAGGAGAAGAAGATTGATTCCATCACTCCCTCTCTTCTAGTTTGTGCTCTATGACTTGAATCTCTAATGGTTGTTTAGGGAAGATGAACCCTAGTTTATAGGTTGTGAATGAATGGGTTATGTTTGAATGTGTTTATCTGGATGATTTTAATGCTTTCCTAGCTTCGATTGTGTTTGGGTAAGTCGCCCTAATCTTCTCTAGTAGCCTACTTGAGCTTCTATGCTGAGTATGGAGTTTTAGGGTTAGAAGGGTATGCGCCATCAAACAAACTGAGGTTAGATGTATGAATAGGATCCCACAGTGGATGAGGCGACCGTACCCCTGCCATAGGAATTCCTTCTTAGATAGAACCCGGGATAAAACCGCGGTGTGGACGGTGGGTAGTATCCATTGAAATGACCTATGACCTTAATGCCCCAGATACGATAGCCTAGATCGAGGTGACTAACATGGATTTCGGGGGAGGCGTACTCAGATGCGTGTGGATAACCACGAAAGCCCACGAAAAAGAGCTCACTCACGATATTCTCTTAACCCTACTTGACAACCATAGCTAGAAGAATTTGATCCTAGGCAACCGCCTCATTTCTAGCTTTCTCTCAACCACTTGGTTGGTTGTTTATTTTGCCTTTAGGAGTAGTTTAGGTTAGACTTTTCACCAAACCTTTGAACCGATTAGATAGTAGTTTGGAGCGAAGTAATAGTAAGTTTAGGGTTCCCTTGGAATACGATCGAGCCACTTTACTACAATTCTAGCTAGGTTAGACTTGGCTTAGTTAGCATTGAATAGAGAGTATGCATCGACTATAAATTTAAAGCTCCATCACTCAAGAGCGATCAAGTTTTTGTGTCGTTGTCGGGGAGTCTTAAGTCATTAAGAAAAGTTGAGAACTACTAGTTTAATCTTTTGTTGTGTTTGTGTGTTTTGTGCCAAGTTTGGCGTTGTTTTGCCGTGTTTTGTATTTTTTGTTTGAGTAGCATCAATTCTTTGGTGCCATTTTCTTGTGTTTTGTGTTTGTGATGTCGCATTTTCTTTCTTTTGTTATGTTCCCTTTAGTTATCTTGTGTTAAGTGTTTGTGCGCTTTCTGTTTTCTTTTCTTTTCACACTTGTGCTTTCATAGTTTGTTGTTGTTTTTGTGAGTATAGATAGTGTTTAGGTGTAGCTATGGATCCTTATGGCTGGCTTGAGGAGTGGGGAGATCACCAAAGGACGAATTGGTAGTAGCCAAGGATCCCGGTTTCAAGAACAACCACCTCTCTATGCCTATCAACCGTACCTCCATGGTATTCAAGCATCTCCGCCATCATTCCAAGAACCACCTCCACAACCTATGGTGAAGACCGTGTTGGAGATGGCCATTGAGCGACTTAAGGCGCATATGACATATTTAGAAGGCGTTGAGACAACTTATTCAACTCCAACCCCGAAACCAAAGAGCCTCTTGGAGCTCGAGTTAGAAAAACTCATGGCCGGGAGTGGGAGTACACTTCAACATTCACCAACGCCTACACCAAAGAGCCTTGGAGAGTTAGCATACGAGCGCTACAACATCCCAATGGAGTGCCTAGATGCTAACGATCCCAACGTTCCTCCAGGTTGCTTTCGGGTTAAAGGGAAGTCCGACCCTTCTACTCAAGACTTCCTCAAGGAACAAGAAGAGATGCAAAAGAGGATAGAGAAGAACAGAAGAGTTATTGAGCAACTTTGCTCGAGACTCAATCAAGAGAGCCTCTTTGACATCAAGAATGAAGGAAAAGAGGAAGTAGAAGA